CTGACTGAACCAGCAGCAGCTTGTGGGCAGATGTGCTGCTGGAAATTTAGACCATGCTAGGAGCAATTCACTTCTGAGTGGCTACTGCACCCTGGCCATAACCTAACCCACAAAGTTGCTGAGCCTTGGCCTTATGGTTCATGAAGGAAGGGGTTTCCACAGTGCTTTGGGCCTACAGGAGAATGCCATTATTCTTTCTTATCATCCATTGTGCTGGGTTCCCCCTCCCCCGCTCCCAGTGCACAGATAAGAAGAAAATGTAGTTCTACAAAACTGAGAACTGTGCAGCTCTCATATGCAGCTTTGTCAAAGCATCTCCACTGTGGAACTGATGGGCCTTCACTGCACAGGTGTTGCCTGGTGTGCCACAGTGGGGATACTTTTGTCATCTGAATGTTCATCCTTTAGGAACTTGGTTAAGCGTATTTTCATTCATGAGCTTAGAGGGAGATGGAACTCAGAACTCCAAAGGTGAAAAGTTAGACCACCAGCTAGCATTTCATACTTTCAGTTTTACTTACTAGGAATACTTTTTATTATCTAAAAAATCTTTTCTTTTTAGAAATGCAAAATAATTTGAGTCCACAGAAATATTATGATGAAAACAAAACTTACTGTATAACACCCACGTAGTTTTCAATTTGTACAGCAGATGCATCCCGCCAGTCTGTTTTAAATCCCAGTACCAAGGTATTTGGTCTCATCCTACCCAAACCTGAGGCCTAGTGATATTAAAAAATACTGCATGAAAAGGTACATATGCACAGGCTGTTGCTGTAAATGAGAAGTAATGGCAAAAGATAACTGAAGTAATGTTCTGGATATTCTTAAGATTTGATTACATTTTGTGAATGTCCTTCATGCCTGTACCCAAGCAGAAAGTAGAAAGATTAGGTCTACATTATTCCAGTCATAAATGGCTTTTAGATGAAAGAAATGTAGTTTTGCTAAATTAGCATTCATTTGCATTTCTTCTGACATGCTCTCATGAAAATGGTTCAGTAACTTAAAACCAAGAGACAATTTGTGCTGCTGTTTGTATGCCCTTTCTAACACAACAGCATCAAGCTTCTGTCTGGCTTGTACATAAAATAAATAAGCAAGTGTTTGGTGTTCCGTTAAGGACCTGAAGTACTCAGAGGGAGAAGTGGCAGTCCTTTATTTAAAAAATAAATCTTTGCTTTAGTTTAGGAATTCTTACCAGTTAGGTGAGATGATCTGAAAGTAACTGAGCAAACCTTATATATATATATATAATAGTTTGGAAATATACAGGAAGAAGAGGAGATTTTGGCAAGATGTGACATCAAACCAGGCTTCTTCCAACAAGATGTTCAAAGCACGTTTTAGGTAGAGATGGTTTTTAGGTAGAGAGTGCTAAAAGCTTGATGCAGATGTAAAAAGTGACCAAATCTTGATTCAAGCTGCTTCCCCATAGTTCCAGTTAATCTAATTTGATTAAGTATGAGCGTAGACTGAAAAATGCAATCTGTTAGGAACATTTTCTTAGAATACACAAATATATTGGCTCTTGAGATATTGCATTTGCATATTTGTATTGCTATCAAAAGGGAAATGGATAGAGCCATGGGAAAATTGTTTTTGTGAGTTGTACTGACACATTCATATTGTACACATTTAAATGAATAGCTTGTCTACAAAACAATTTCATAACGATTTTCTCTATGATAATCTACCGGTGGTATGGCCACTTTCCCAAACTACTGAAAGGGAAGTGTTTATTTTGCACTCATATACCTGATTTTGATCATGGCATTTTAAAAAAGATGGAAGAAAAGATCATTAGGAGATAATAGCTCTTAGAAGCAACAAAAAAACTACTGCTTGGCAAACTGTTCTGTACACAAACTCCAGATAAAATCTCACTGAGCTTTAATACAATAGAAAGATTTATTAACACATTGCCTTATTAATACATTCTCTTACTCCCCACTGCCATCCATTGAACAAACATGATAAAACCCAATCCCTAGTCCGGCGCTCTCAGGACCTGACCAGTCCCAAATGAAGGAATTTGCCAGACCAGGGGAGTTCCCCTGCCACTGGCTCCCCAGCCTGCTGCCCCTCAGTGTTCCTAGCTCTGCTACTGCCCCAACCACTCCTACTGCCAGCCCCAGCCGAGCTGCCATGGGGCCTGGACAGGCTGCTGGCCCTGCTGCCTCTGACGCCAATCCTGGCCGGGCTGCTGGTGGCCCCCAGCCTCAGAGTTGCCAGGCCACAGGCTCTGACTCTGGCTCCTGCCAGGCTGCTGGGGGCTCTGGCCCCAGTCATGAGCTGCTGCAGGATGCTATGGGCTCTGGCCCCAGCCCCCCACTGCTGCCTGCTGCCACAGACTCCAGCTCCAGCCCCGTACTGCCAGCTCTCCTGCCACTATGCTCCCTGGTCTCTCTGGTCCAGGAACATCCATGGTCCGTGTTGCTGGACCAGAGTATGCCAGTTTGGTGAGGTGTATCCTAAATCCTACCATTGAGTGGCTGTTACAAGAGAACTGACAAAAAGTCTTTTGGGTGTCCATGGTCTGTACTGAGATTCACATGGGTGTTTCACACATGAAAATGATAAGATTCTTCCCCCGTATTTTATCTCCAGATGTACATGTTTACATACGTGCTTGCGAAAGACAAGGAAATGGAGGATCTAAAAGTGGTAGCAATTTAGCCTCTGACAATGCTATCTTCAGTGAAGTTAGGTTAATTTTAATGGACTGTTTAAAAGCAATCTGGAATATGTTTGGAGTGTTAGGAAAATGTTTCAGGAAGTGAATTTTTATTAATTGAAGTGAGCTTCACTATTTTTGCAAAATTATATAAAGTGATAAAAATATTTTCTGTGAAATGAAATACAAAAACATTATCAAATGTTTAATGTACTACATATTACCAACCACCAGAACTCGTTTGCTGTGCACTGACTACAGGTGCAGACATTGGTATGGTGCCCTAAAGGCACCTCTGTTTTCGTAATAGGGACTCATTCATTTGGGATAGAATCACCCCGCTTTGTTTCACTGTTCCATAGCCTGGAACCAAATCTGTTCTTGAAGTAAACTATACTACAAACAGAGGTATCATCAGGACACCCTCTACATTTTTAACATGTTATTCATATATTTGGGACCTTTTGGCAAGTAAAGAGTAAAAATGTCAGGGAAGCTTTGATGTAATGCTCTTGAACGCGTTTTGTAAATAAAAAGCTTACTTGAAGAAGACTTTTGACTCCATCTCTAAAGCTGTCAGCTGCCACTGCAGCGTAAAATGCTTTTCTTTTGTTCTTTGTAAGCCAGGCCTGCTTTTTTGCCATGCCACTGTTCATCTCTTTAACACATAGCTTGCGTGGTCCCTGTGGTATGCAATAAAATATTAGTAAGAAGACTTTGTTTTATACACTGCACTGTGATTTTGAAGGTGTTTCCTAGTCTGTTGTTTGAGAGAAGTCAGAAAAATATATTTCCAAAAAGAGTCCATGGAGATTCAGTGCTTGTAAAAGAACTGTGCTGGTAACATAATTCACATTCAGTTCAAGAGGACCAAGGCTGTTAATGCTACTTAAATATAGTGATTCTGACAGAAAAAAAAGACTATTCAGAATTGTAACATCTTAGAACAATAGTGTGATGAAGTATCTCTGGGCGAATAAACTCCCTACCTGACTTAACTACATAAGCAACCCTACAGGAAGATTCAGTGGATCTTACATAGTCATTAAAACCCTATCTTCTGCCAGTAAGAGCAAACTGGACTTTACCCATCTGGACACACAAACTCCTTTGTTACTGTGTCTTTCCAGTGATCATCTGATAGTTTAATTGGGTAAAATTCAACAGCTACAATATTTGTAATCATTACGGGATTCCCACTGACAACACATAGCTGTTTTTATCACCAGGCTATTTTTAGTTTTACAAATCACAGAGGTTCATTGTATCACACTTTTATTATCCACTAAACTAAATTTAGCTTAAATTGTTAGAGAAAGAAAAACCAACAAAAATGTTTGCACTAGCACAACCACCTTGTGTTGTATTATAAGCAGAAACAAAATCTTCTAATGCGATATGAAAACTAATAATATTATAAGAAGATGCCTAATAAGAAAACTTGCTGAAGCCACACTATGTGAAGTTTTCTAGTCTAGACCCATGGACATCAACGGCAAAGCTCCCATTAACTTCAGCAATGTAGTATCAGGCCCATATACTCATGCAGGACATATCAAACTTAGGCTACGTCTAGACTGTATTGCTTTTCAGGCTACTGGAAGTAGCCTGAAAAAGCAACGCTGCGTCCAAGGAACGCATCTGCTTTTTCAAATTTTTTTTCGAAAGAATGGATATGCTTTTTTGCCATCCAAACCTAGTTCTATGAGGAATAAGGTATGGCTCGAAAGAGCACTTTCTTTCACAATTTGGCACTGTGTAGATGCACCACATTTCGAAAGAGTCTCTTTAGAAAGTAAATTGGAAAAATTTGCAGTATGCAATTTGCATATCTTTTTCCGATTTAAAAGTGAAGTTTAGATGTAGTGTATTAGCCCTCACTAGAAGGTTGTAAATTCTAATGTTCACTACATATTGCGTACTAACTGGCCCACGTCTCACTTGTTGCCATGAACTACAAGTTCTCTGGTATGACAATGTACTGTAATACAATTTGGATGGAACTACATTAACATGCACTGAGGATCTTTTGGTGTGTGGCAGCAGGGTCCATGTTGGCCAATTGCTACACAACACACTGGTTTGCAGTAACATTTACACCCCTTTAGTGCAGTCTAAGGCACCATGCAGAGAAGCCCAAAGACTTGTTTGAATTGGAAAGGATCTTATCTAGGTCTTCTAGTACACACTTCTGCATTTTGGTAGCATTGATTTAATTATTACTAGGTAAAGGGTGCATTATCTGTATTTGACTAGTTCTAACAAAGGTAAGTCTGTAACCCTTCTTTGCAACTTGTTCTAGTATTTAGTTTTATTATAGTTAAAAAGTTTGTCCTGACATTTAAACTACACTTTTCACTGTAGCAATATAAGCTTTTTGTTTGTGGTTCTCTCCTAACTAAAAGACCAGATCCCTATAATCTTTACTGTATCTTTTCCCAACACATAGTTGTAGATACTAGGGATGTGAACGGGTAACCAGTGAACTAGTCTCTGAGAGCAGCCTTTGTTTGTGGCCCACCACAGGTGGAGGGCTGCTCCAGCCCCATGGAGGTCTGGAGGTGGCCACCCCATGCGTGTGGGAGCCAGGCACAGAAGCCAGCCACCTCTCTTGCAGGAAAGAGGGGACAGGAGCAGCAGCTGGGCTGGAGCAGTCCCCCCTGGAATCCCACTTAATCAGTTAACCAGTTAAACCTAAGGTTTAACCAGGTTACTTATTAAAAGGAATATTATATTATCTCTGGTAGCTACTTATCATATAATAACAAAAAGGTGTACTTAGGTAGCTCCATTCTTCAAAATATTCTGGAGCAGAATCTCATTTCTCCCAAAAGCTGGTTTGCTAGAACTTGGGTATTTTGATTTATATCCTCTATTCCTGAGACCATGCTGCCTCCTTTTCCCTCCACTCTTTTCTCTAGCCTCTGTGTAGCTATTTTTTAAAGCTTTTCCTTCTAATTCATATTTTTCCAAACCTTTTCTCATTTTTGCTTGGTCTATTATGAACTCCGAGACACATCTCAATAAGGCAGTAAGCAGCAGGCTCCACATCAGCTGATAGCCATCTTGTCAAGACACATGACAAAGTTCATTGACATGCTGTACTCAGCATCAATGGCAGCATTGTGAGCCAAACGAGGAGAGAATGGAGCTCTTCAGTGCACACTGGAGAATTTTGCTTTTAATGTTTAGGTTCACATACATAGACCCTACCGTATATACTTGGCAGCAGATGCAGAGACCATTGTTCTTTGTGAATGAATGTGTGATGTCTAATAGAGCAGGTCTTGTCATGGGTCCTTCCGTTAATACTATGCACTGGGGTCTGGAAGAAGGGGAAAACAGTTTACAATTAATTGGGAGTCTGTCTAACCCCAGATTAAGCCATTCACTACTTCCCTGCAAACCTTACCTGAAGTTTTTCACATGATCTTCTATAGCAGTTAATTCCAGTGCACTGTCTAATGCATTAACATAGTAAAGAGCCTGTGCAGATGAGCCCCAATTTACCTCTGTGTATGACAAAGAAAAATACAGCATATAAAACTCTTTTCTAAGTTCTGTAACAAATGTCAGCATGCGCTTCTCCATGAGCCATCGCCCTCAGCCACACAAATACGGGGTGTACGTGAAAGAGGCGTGATACAAATACAAACGTACAAATGAATCCTGCCTCATTCTTTGTGTGAAAAGCATAGGAAATGTTCTTCCTCCGCTTAAGAGATGTTTTGCTCTCTGTTCCATTAACTTTCTTCCTCTCTCCCACACATAAAATGGACACCCCTGAGTAAAGCATTTGCATTTGATGTGATATTTCAGCAGAGGAAATGAAGCCATTAGAAAGGCACATTACTAGCTCCAATGAGTTGAAAACCACGTGTTTTCAAAGAAGAAAATTGAAGGTATGCCAGCCCATCACAAGCCAGCTTGTTTTGCTACTGAATGCTTACTGTTGCAACCTCTTTATAATTTATGGTGTCTCAGAGACAAAGAATACTGCCATGGTAAGGGAATACTTGTGTAACAATATAACATGCCATTGTCCTTTCTCCCTACACCTAACAGCCAACCTGTTCGATCGCCTCACCCTTCAAGGGCGTGCACTGGGCATTGTCAATAGTCCTGCTCCCTTCTGGAGCTAGATTTTCAGTGCAGAGCTGTAGTGAGATGGTCACCCCGCTCCAAGCATAAAAAGGGTTAAAACAACTAGGGGGCCAATCATTAGAGGCCTTGCAGCAGCTAATCAGAGTCCAGGAGGGCTGTATAAAAGAGATGGCTGGCCAGGCTCACTCAGCCTTGCTCCAGCTATGGAGTAGATGGGACCTAGCTGCCAGGGAAGTAGGAGGCTTCCTGATACAGAGCTGGACTGGGGAAAGGCGGGTAGATCTGGGGAAGCTCTGGCCAGGCAAGCTCCCAGGGTATGTCTGCACTGCAACGTTATTTTCAGGTATTCTAGTCTTCACAGCAAGCCCGTTATTTCGGGCTTGCTATTCTGACATCCCTGTAAACCTCATTCTACAAGGAGTAAGGGATGATTCGGAATCGTGCTTTGTTTTGAAATTTGGTGCTGTGTAGACAGCATCAAATGACGACATAAGCTATTTCGAAATAGCATCTACATAAGATACCCCATTTGTGTAGCTCAAATAAGACACTCAGTTTGCACACCCCCAGGCTGCAGGGCCGAAGGCAAGGCCTGAGGGCACTTAGGCTGCAGGGAGGCAACCAGGGCAGCTGAAGGCAGCAGATCCATACCACTGCAGTTTGCCCCTAAGGCAGAAGCTAGATGAAGACTGGCAGTAGGGCCACTGGAGCAAGGTGGGTATAGGGGGTTGAAGGTTCCCTAGCGGGGAGGACCTCAGAGTGTGAAGGCATTGCAGTCAAGCAGTACCCAGAGGGGAGGATGCTATGGTCTTGGAGTTACATGGGCCCTAACACAAAGTGGTGAGAAAAAAAGGTAACATCAGGCAAAACACTGGCCAAAAGGGGTGCTCCAGTATGCTAATTCCCAAGTGACCAGCAGGAGGCACCATGGTGGTGAGTCCTGCCATGTTACAAGAGCCAAGTGGCAGCTCTGCATCCAACACACCTTGGGTTTCTTGGCACAGCTGCTGAACTTCTAATGCACATAAGGACTTGAGAGATGCAGGGGGCAAGAAGTTTTAGTTCATCCCTAGACCAATGAAAGAAAGGAAAGGAAATACTAGTGCCCCAGGATCCTAAACATAGTTGCAAAGCAACTCTCAAGATTTGGAGAGAGCGGAAGCTGTGCACCATTGTGCCTCCTAAAGGGCCTGCTGGCAAGGCAGCCCATCAGTGTTCCCTAAGACTGATTCTAAGAGCAGAAAGGAGAAGTAAGTAGTAGGGGTGTGTCAAAACATCTGAAATAAGAAGGGGGTTAGTCCTGGGCTTGTGGCAGGAGAAAAGCCAGGGAATGTTCCTTCAAATTCCAAATGTGAACTTGCAGGGACTGGTCCCGTGTATCCTGGCAAACTTAATGTTCATGAACCAAGTCCTGCAGTTATTGCACAAATCCAGCAAGTGGCAGGTCTAATTATGGGCATGTGTAAAAATCTAGCTTAAATTCCCAGCTGTTTGCTAAAATGCTCAAGGCTGTTAGTCTGGCAGAATGTGATCATTCAGTTGTGCGTAATCACTTTCCAAAAGCCACATCTTTTTGCTGCTGATATCCTTCTTGTTCACTTATACTGATGTTTGGCTGAAGAAATCAGAGTGGAAGTAAATTATTTCTAAATGCTGTGGTCATGCCTGTGTAAATGGGGAGCTTTACCAGTTATACCAGTGTAGAATTAATATCATATGCAACTTTCTGATTTCTGAACATGTTTTTTTTTCATTTTCTTTTTCCTTCCCAATGTAGGAAAGAACATCACGCCTTGCTGAGTATCACTAAGCTGCCAAAAAGAATGTAACATTCTATATAGGTGGTTAGTAGAAGTGTTCCTCTCCTGGTGGGACAGAGGGAGAGAGTTTCTATGCAGATATGTAAGCAGGATAGCTTGCTGCTTTTTGTATGTCTTCACAGCTGAGTTAGCCCAGATGATTGGAACCCAGGTCTGAACATCTGGATAGTCTTGCCTAGTGTGAACCACCATAGATCAAAGTCCTGCCTGAGTTACAAGTCGTGTCTAGACTACATCTCTTTTAAGACACAGCATTTCTACATCCCATTTCTGTCAAAAATGCCCTATCTAAACAGCCTTTTTTGGGGGAGGGTTCGAAAAAGCCCCATTTTGAAAAAAGCGGTGGCCGCCATTATGCAAATGAACCACGGGAAATTGAAATCCCGGCTTCATTTGCAATATTGATGTGCCTAATTTACATCCCTTTACCGAAAAAGGGATGAAGTCTAGACGTAGCCACACTGTCCTCTTTGGTTCTGCATTTCCCTGTGCCTGTCACTAGGACTTCTGAGGGCATAGTCTGTGGTTTTTTGCATTTCAATAAGACAAGGTGCTCTAGGATTCTTGTTCATCCTTCTAAGCATTGGAGGACTATCTGCACTCCACTGATGTAGCCTAGATCCTCACTGCAAAATGGGTGGGTAAAGAATTCGAGTGAATGTAGAATCCAGGCTCTATAATTCACACCTAGCTAGTCCAGGTGGAAAGCATCACAAACTCTGGTGAGAGAGTCTTGTGTGTTCCAGTAAGGGGGAGAAGATCTGGGCCACACTAAGATAAGAGCCCCAGTTAACTCTCCAGTGAAGAAATAGCCTGAAAGTAGTGACTGTTCTTATGTAAGACTTCAAATGGAGGAGTAGCAGATGATCCACTTCTGGATTTAAAAAAAAGAAAGAACAGCTTGGTTCATTTGCACAGGTGAGTCTGCTAAGACCAGCTGAGCTAGACTGCTAGTTGCAAAAGTCTGATAAAGCAGTATATGTTTGGGAGCAAAATCTCCCTCAGTAGATTCTCCTCAGTGGTGGTTCTAGCACCAGCAGGGCTGGTTGAGAAGGCCAGATGAAAGCTGCAGCTTGAAATCCTTTTAATCTAGGAATCAGTAACAGAGTTTATACCTCCTAAAGAGAGTTGGAGTTTGTGATTAGGGCATTTCCTTTTGGCTTCCCAAAGGGATGGATTACAGGCAGTCCCCGACTTACGTCGGATCCGCACTTACGAACGGGGCTTTCTCGTCCCGGAGCTCACAGGCAGCGATCCGCCACCTTGACCTCCGGGGCAAGAAAAGCTGCTCCCGGTGCCCCTGGTCTACTGGAGACCGTCTCCAGCAGACCAGGGGCACCGTGAGCGAAGCCGCAGCAGCGGCGGGGGGCCCCCCTCTGAGGCTTTACTCTGGCACACTAGCTGCGCCGCCCCCCAGCAGACCAGGGACACGGGGAGCAAAGCCGCAGTGGCAGCGGGGTGCAGCGCCTCTGAGGCTTTACTCTGGCAAAGCCTCAGAGGCGCGGGGCCGCGCCCCGGCCGG